AACAGGTGGAATGTGAGAAAAGTGAATTTGAACCTTCGAAACAGGCAGAATGTGAGAAAAGTGAATTTGAGCCTTCGAAACAGGCAGAATGTGAGAAAAGTGAATTTGAACCTTCGAAACAGGCAGAATGTGAGAAAAGTGAATTTGAGCCTTCGAAACAGGCAGAATGTGAGAAAAGTGAATTTGAGCCTTTGAAACAGGCAGAATGTGAGAAAAATTATCTTGAGCCTTTGAAACAGGCAGAATGTGAGAAAAGTAAATTTGAGCCTTTGAAACAGGCAGAATGTGAGAAAAGTGATTTTGAGCCTTTGTAAGTTTATTGTAATAATGATAATATTCTTATTGGTATTTTTTTCACTCCCAAAGTTCCTTATTTTGATATATGGTTTATTTCTGTCTCTTGTAGATTTATATCACCAACTTTACATTGATAAGAAAAACATTAAGAAAAGTTGTAAAATTTGTTGAGTTTGTTCACGTATCCATCAGGTTGCATGGTGATCATGATGTAACTGTTTATAACCTGTTTCCTTGCTGAGTTACAATTTTTTGTTTGAATATTTTTACATAACATTCCAACTTTTAATGTTTTGTTCATAAAATTACTATGATGTAAATAAAATAGGTGTGAAAGGTTTATCAATTCTATGCAATCATTAGCTTTTACAATATACTTAACTGCTCATAGATTTATTTTGTTGCTCACTGCAAAGACAAAGTGTGAATGATCTATCTTGACACACACTAATGATGTGTGACTAAGAATGAGTGACACTTTGTTTTAATTTCCTTTAGTGATGCATGTGTAAATATTTCAATATTTTATTATTATTAGTCTTACAATTAAATAAGATATTTGGAGAAAAAAAGTTTTATTATGATGAGAAAATATTCATCTTCTCACTTTGCACATTTGGTAGTCATCGCTACTACTTAGGAAACCCTGCTGTTTACAGTAAGTGTTTCTTTTACTTTAGTACTGGGAATGAGGTCATTAAAAGTATCCTTAAAAAACTCTGTTAACCCTTGTGTTAGGCTTTCAACTTAGTCTTTTAAAGAGCTGCAGAATATGACTAATAACTGAATTTAGTTTTTAAAATATCTACAACTTGGAGAGCGGTAGTGATAAGAGAGTACATTATCATGATGATCAACAAGAAACTAATGGAGATTATTTCACAGCTCTTAAGTCTGGCTGCCCATTTAGTTCGATAAGCACTTTCATAAAGAGACTTCCAACTAAATGCCTGATCTGTAGCATTGCTTCACTGCTTTCAGAATATTTTAAACTGCTTTGAACATTAGAATCTTAAAGACCTATTGAAATTTTGACTTGGGATGTTTATAATGTGCATTCTGCTGACTGTTCAAACGTACTTCGTAGTGAGGGTGAGTTTCATTAAGATATCTGAAATAATGTTTTTCTTGCTGGAGATACTTTTTATGAGAATCTTTAACTGAACTTATTCTTCTAGACAGAACTAAATTGTATGACATTCTTGAGTTTTACTAATTCTTCTGATCAGATAAATTTTGAGAATCTTGTAATGTCTTGTTTATTTTAACCAGCAAAATTTTATAACATTTTCAATTACACGTTTTTTCTAATGGGATTTAGGAGATCCTTCAAATGAGCAGCTTTAATCTGATCAGTCACGTTTTAGGAGATACAGGAAGTAAACTATTTTATCACATTTTAGGAGATACGGGAAGTAAACTATTTTATCACATTTTAGGAGATACGGGAAGTAAACTATTTAGTCACATTTTAGGAGATACAGGAAGTAAACTATTTAGTCACATTTTAGGAGATACAGGAAGTAAACTATTTAGTCACATTTTAGGAGATACAGGAAGTAAACTATTTAGTCACATTTTAGGAGATACGGGAAGTAAACTATTTAGGCACATTTTAAGAGATACAGGAAGTAATCATTTCCATTTTTATTTTCTAACTGAACTATTCATTCTACCCAGTTACTTTCATGAGATTATCTAACTGGATCAATTCTCTTAGGCACAGTTACAAACGTTGAGCTTTGGTTTAAAATAATATTTAGGTAATCAAAAAACAAAAATAGATATTTAGTATTGTACTTATGACTGTGATGGCATAGTACATGTTTTAATTTTTGTTTACAGTTTGACTCCCTGTTTCAACAGGTAAGTTTTGTAACATGTACATTTCATTTTATGAAATATTTCTTTATTTTAAAGTAGTTAATGTTTGTTCATAGCACTATTTCATTGTGTGAAATACTGCAGGCAATTTTATGTGTTTCTTCACAGCACTATTTCATTGTGTGAAATACTGCAGGCAATTTTATGTGTTTCTTCACAGCACTATTTCATTGTGTGAAATACTGCAGGCAATTTTATGTGTTTCTTCACAGTACTATTTCATTGTGTGAAATACTGCAGGCAATTTTATGTGTTTCTTCACAGCACTATTTCATTGTGTGAAATACTGCAGAAAATTTTATGTGTTTCTTCACAAAACTATTTCATTGTGTGATATACTGCAGGAAATTTTATGTGTTTCTTCATTTTTTTATTTTACACATTTTGTGCTATTTTTGTCTGACAGCTTCTTTCATATCTTTTTCTTGTGTGATTAATGCCCCATTATTATTCCATTTTACTGAATGGTCTTCTCTGACAGCATGGGCTGTTGCGGATTTGTATTACAGAGCCCTGTTCGTGTATGCATGTTATGCTCTTGAATTCTGTCTTTTTTAGTCATTTTTTGTCTGTCCAATGTATTGTACTCCACATTTAGTGATGTTTTAAATTATTTTTACTTTCCATTGGATCAAGGTGGTTTATGTACTAATTGTGATTGTATTGTAAAGTGGCTTCAGAATACTGTTTGCATATCCTCTGTATGTTTTCCAAGTTTTGTTTTATATAATGGGACATTGTTTTTTGTCTGTGATTTTCTTCTCACTTATTTATGGTGTTCTTAATGTTTAGTTTTTGTCAAATGTGATATATTTTTCTTGCTTCTTTTTAGCATCTTCTATATTGTAAATTCTAGAGACTAAGCAGTTGATGAAGGCTGTATTTATATGTTTAAGGTGATTTGGTCAATGGTCAAGGTACCGTATTTACTAATATCTGTGGATATCATGTAAACAGCTGTGGAGAATGAGATGTGTGTTGTTGGTAATCGATACATCTAGGAATGCAAATTTACCTTCTCTTTTATTCTGCATTGTATCAGAGAATATTGTCTGTTCAATTGGTTCATCAGTTCTGGAATCTTGGGTGCAGTGTGTTGCCATATTACGAATGTATCATCAACACATTTAAGGAAAAAATCCTTGGTTTCATAACAGTCATTTGAATTTAAGGCATTATTTGCAAAATGTTTCTTTTAGCAGTTTATTGAGTACTTATTGTCAGTCATGTATGTTCCTTGAAAGTTTTATCAGTTTCAAGCAGTAGATTAGATACCTCAAAGCTGATTGATGTTTGATCACCACTTCTTATCATAAACATGATATGGCTTAGGATGTTGATTGCAATCAATGTTGGAGATAAGAGTTAGATTAGTGAATGAAGTAACTTAAAACTAGTGCTAGTAAACAGTGGATTGAACTATTGAATGTACAATTATAGTGTTGATTCTTTTAACGTGTGGAAAGGAAGTTGAAGTGTTCTAAGTAATGGACCAATCCAACCAGTACCTAAATCCAGGTAAACTTTGGAGAAGTAGTTAAAATACTGAATGTAATGTTATTGGTTATTTTAAGTGATTTAGCTTAAGTTGTAAATGTAATGAATTGGAACTTTGATGTTGTAAAAAATGTAAATGTAATACAAAACTTTCCAGTGATGGTTCCTGATTGGTTATGATTGTGTTAACCCTTTCGCAAAGGGAGCCCCTTTAAAAAATGCTTTTCTGTGCAAGTCACTGTTACATTGAAAATATAATTAAACACCTCTAATATCAACATATGTGAATGAAATTAGTATTATAATGTGTGTTATGAATCGAGGTTTTATTTTATCCAAGTTTTAAGTCATTTATTCCAAAATAAACCTTTAATAACTTCAGATGTATTGTCACGTGACCAACGAGCTATGAAAATTCTCGACTTTGGCACTCTGTATCTTCAACAATACAATGGCAGTACTGTAGAGGTATGTCTAAACAATGAGATGCTTAGATAACGGTTTGATTCGTTTATTTCTCTGAACAAAATAGAGTTGAAACAAGCAATAATTTTTTTTCAACCCCTGACAACTGCCACACCCACCTTCAGCAGATTTGTTTGAGCTTTACAGCCTCCATGTAGATGTGTGCATACCATGTGTATATACATTAGGAAGAGGTAATTTTATACTATAAACTAACAATGTTTATTTTGAAATTGGTGCATAGTTGTTGTCACCTATTATATGAAATTGACTGTAGTATGGTTGGTTGCTTGATGGACTATAGCACTTCTGGTTGTTTCTTATCTAGATATGTTTAGTTAGATACACAATTTAAATTGTATTTAGGTCTTACTATTATATTTTAGGTAATTATCTATGAGTTATGGTTTAAAATGCATAATTAAAAGATTTAAACATTTTTTAAATGTGCATCATTCTTTGCTTCCATCCACAAGGCTTAGGATATTTTGCACTGAATGAAAAGTTTACTGAAGGGTTGCGCATGTCTCCCGAAGAAACTGTAATATGCCTCAAGACACTGTTGACTTGTGTTGAGATGAATAATAAGTGGTAAAGGATAAGAAAGGAAAATAAAACATTAAAAATTAACTATATATGAAAAGGAAAAGAGGTGGAATTATGAATTTAACAAAAGGAAAATCTTTAAAGATATTTTACAAAAAAATTAAAAAGTATGTATTTTTTCTATTTCTTAATTTTAATTATTGCATTGTACGTTGATGATAATAGCTAGAGTTAGTGATATTGTAGAGAAAAATAAAATATAAACATTTACCATAAAAAACTTTTGATATCCTTTTAGCAGCTTCTGGATGTTATACAAATAAAATATGAAAACTATAAGATGAAGAAAACTATTTTTATATTTAAAATGAAAATCAACTTGCATTTGATTTGTTAATAGTTTGAATGTGAGTAAATACAATAGGAAAATAACATTTTTAGTAAAAACACTTAATTCTAAAATCGTCATTATTTGTGAACGAGATGCTTATGACCTTTGACAAAATCTTGCCAATTTTTGTGAGGATACATTAAGAAATCTCAGAGTTACTGCATGAATTGTTGTACAAGTGAAATTCATAGCTCGACTTTCACAAATTGCACGAGCCCACTGCAAAAGGGTTAATGCAGTACAAAACCTTTTAGTGATTATTTCAAGTTGGTTATGATTGTGCTTATGTATTACAAAACTTTCCAGTGATGGTTATTCATTGGTTATGATTGTAATAATGTAATACAAAACTATCCAGTGATGGTTCCTGATTTGTTATGATTGTATTAATATAATAAAAAAACCTTTCCAGTGAGGGTTCTTCATTCGTTATGATTGTGATAATGTAATACAAAACATTCCGGTGATGGTTCATGATTGGTTATGATTGTGTTAATATAATACAAAACTTTCCAGTGAGGGTTCTTCATTCGTTATGATTGTGTCAATGTAATACAAAACTTTCCAGTAATGGTTCTTCATTGGTTATGATTGTGCTAATGTAATACAAAACTTTCCGGTGATGGTTCATGATTGGTTATGATTATGTTAATATAATACAAAACTTTCCAGTGAGGGTTCTTCATTCGTTATGATTGTGTCAATGTAATACAGAACTTTCCACTGATGGTTCTTCATTGGTTATGATTGTGCTAATGTAATACAAAACTTTCCAGTGATGGTTCCTGATTGATTATGATTGTGTTAATGTAATAAAAGAAAAACGTTCCAGTGATGGTTCCTGATTGGTTATGGTTTTATTAATATAATAAAAAAAACTTTCCAGTGATGGTTCCTGTTTGTTTATGATTGTGCTAATGTAATACAAAGCTTTCCAGTGATGGTTGATCATTGGTTATGATTGTGTTAATGTAATAAAAAACTTTCCAGTGATGGTTCCTGATTGGTTATTATCGTGTTAATGTGATACAAAACTTTCCAGTGATGGTCCCTGTTTGGCTATGATTGTGTTAATGTTATACAAAAAAAAACTTTCCAGTGACAGTTCCTGATTGTGTCAAGTAATACAAAATTTTCCAGTGATGGTTTCTAATTTATTATGATTGTTTAAACATAGTACAAAACTTTCCAGTGATGGTTCCTGATTGGTTATGATTGTGTTAATGTAATACTAAACGTTCCAGTGATGGTTTGTCATTGGTTATGCTTTTGTTAATAAAATTCAAAACGTTCCAGTGATGGTTTGTCATTGGTTATGCTTGTGTTAATAAAATTCAAAACATTCCAGTGATGGTTTGTCATTGGTTATGCTTGTGTTAATAAAATTCAAAACATTCCAGTGATGGTTTGTCATTGGTTATGCTTGTGTTAATAAAATTCAAAACATTCCATTAATGGTTCCTGATTACATGTGATTGTATTTAGGTAATACAAAATTTTCAGTGATGGTTTCCAAATGGCTATAACTGTTGTTGAAGTTTATTATGACCTGCAACATCCACAACAATATGAATAACAGCAATAAAATTGTTGAATCTAAGTGTATAGATGAAGTATCCACCAATATTTTAATTTCTTGATCAAAACTTTCTTGTTAAATTTTAAAGTACTCTGCTTCAAAGTTTAGAGGAAATTCAAGAAAAAATAAACTTATATGGAAGTCATACAAGATTCTTTTCTCCATAAACTATTAAATGAGAAAAAATGGGGATCCCAAATATTTAATTTTTTAATATTTTTTCTCGCATATTTTTACTAGTATATTGCAAAAATATATTTATGAAATTGTTAAATGTCTTTGTAAATTGTACAGAAAATAATATTTAAAAGTAACATTTGTTCAGTATTAACATATTACATCAACAAATAATTAACTTTTTCTATTCTTCAGATGCCCTCTTCTTCATCTACAGTTGTAAGTAGGCCAAACACAACCCCTCCTGATGTAATTTCCCTGGACTGACTGAGTCTGACCATATGTCATTGACTACTAACAGAAACAAGGAACAAAAAAGAAAACCCAGTTTGGGAGAAAGTACCTGTCCTGTGTATCATTATTGTAATGCATTTATACACGGTGTTTCTAAATAGAAGTCGGCATATATATATATAAATATTTGTAACCATCTACAGATATGACTGATAAATCACACACTGTACCACACCATTGTCTTAATCACCTCTAGATTATCATTCTCTGTACATGAGCTTTGTAAGACATACTTTATGTAATGGAGTTTTTGCAAAGTTATAGCCCAAATGCAGTTGTGTTTTTACCATTTTTGGTACATATCCTGTGTCTTTAGCTTCACAATAACCACCATCATTGAGTACATCTTTCTAACTTTGTGAAAGTTTTACAGAAAGGAAAAAGATATTTTATAACTGAGACATTATGAAATCACTATCAGTTTCACATAGACTGTATGTTATTCAACTATAATAACTTCTGTGACTTGTTTGTATTTCATTGTTAAAATGTTTAACAGACAGTGACTATTATCACTTTCCTTGTTAGCCATTTATGCAAGTATTAACCTAAATGTTGTAAGTAATATTAAAAAAGAAAAGTTCATAGTAAAAAGGTAAGATTTTACTATCCACTTCAAAAGTCTGAACAGTTTTCACATGTATAGGTAATATTGAATTGTTGACCATAATGTTTCAGATAATTACTACTCTAATGCAAAATGTGAGAATATTTTGTAAGTTGAAACTGTTAATTCTTGGAATACAATTTTCAACTTTATATTTTTATTTAATGCAACCTGTAGCCCCATCTTTTTGTGTTATATGTTGAGACATTGATGTACTAGATAGAGAACCCAGTGAGTTAATGCTATATGCAGCCCCATTATTTTGTGTTATATGTTGATCTATTATTTGTAGACATTGATGTACTAGATAGAGAACCCAGTGAGTTAATGCTATATGCAGCCCCATTATTTTGTGTTATATGTTGATCTATTATGTGCAGACATTGATGTACTAGATAGAGAACACAGTGAGTTAATGCTATATGCAGCCCCATCTTTTTGTGTTATATGTTGATCTATTATGTGCAGACATTGATGTACTAGATAGAGAACCCAGTGAGTTAATGCTATATGCAGCCCCATTATTTTGTGTTATATGTTGATCTATTGTGTGCAG